AACGAGGTGTATTCAATACGTCTCCTCCTTACCAGTCTTGTGCCAGATATGTGGAAGATGGCTAATGTGGTTCCCTATATTCAAATCAGGGATAAGTCCATCTCCTTCAAATTACCGTCCAATAAGCCTGACATCTATAGTGGGCAAGTTATTAGAAACCCCCCCCATCAATTATAGCTGACATAATCAGAAGTCACCTTGAGAGCATAACTTGATAAATGAATCTCACATGGATTCACGAGAGGTCGTTTCCTTCCTGTGCCTGAGCAAACTTACTGACTGTTCTCTTCAATAGGAACATTTGAGGCAGTTGACAGTGATAAGAATTGATTTTTTTCTTTGGATTTTAGTAAAGCCATTCGCCAGAGTACCTCACAAGAGACTCCTTAAGAAAAGTGGCCGCTCATGGTATAAGGTAAAGGTCTAGCATGGATTGAGGGTATGGCTTACCATAGAAATCCAGAGATTTACCATTAATGAGTGAAATCTGATTGGGGATTAGTCACTATTTCGTTCCACAAGGATCAGTTTTAAGGCCCTCTCTTGTTCATAATTTACTTTAATGACCTAGGATGAAGGGATTACTAGTGACATGATAAGTTTGCTGATGAACAAAGATAGGCCGTATAATATCATCTTGAAGGAGATATCAATGAACTCCAGGACGATTTGTAAACAAATTAATGTCTTATTCGTGAGAAATGGCTATGAAGTTTAAATGAGGATATGTAAGTACTGCCCTTGGTAATGAAAATACCCCTCGAAGCTATAATCTAGGTGAAGTAGAGCTTGGTTCATACGAGAATGGTGAAAGAAGAGAAAGAAGATAGAATACTGGAGTATGGTAAGCAGAATCTAAAGCCAAGACAGCAGTGCCTCAGTGTGCGCACACAAGGCCAACAGATTACTTGGATTTATCTCAAGAAGTATAAGTAACAGAAGTCCAAAAGTTTTTTTTACAGCTTATACATCACTAGTGGGGCCCTCTTTTGGATTATGCTGCTCAGTTTTGGCCCCCTTTTACTACAGGATGGACATAGACTCATTAGAGAAATACAGAGAAGAATGACAAAAAATGATTTAATGTGTAAGGAACCTCCCGTATGAAGATAGACTTAAAGCCTTAAATCTCCACTCTCTGGAGAGGCGTAGAATGGGGGGAGATATCATTGAAGTGTATAAGTGGATGACGGACTTTAAACAAGGGAGACATTAATAAAGTACTGGGGGTGTCGAACCAGGTAAGAACCAGGAAATGGATTTAAGTTGGATAAATTTAGATTTAGAAAGGACATAGGTAAGTACTGGTTTTTTAACAGAGTTGTAGATGCATGGAACAGTCTTCCCAGTGGGGTGATAGAGGCTAGGACCCTTTGGGTAGCTTTAAGAAGAGACTGGACAAATATATGAGTGGGAGGGCTGGGTTTGATTGGTTTTGGGGGGGGGCGGGAGTTGTTTCTTGAGTAGCTTTAGGTAGATGTCGTTTTGATAAGGACCTGCCTCGTATGGGCCCGTAGGCCTTCTGCAGTGTTCCTATTCTTATGTTCTTATGTTCTTTTTGAAACTACCCAAAAGTCCCCGCCTCAATAACATGTCGGTTTCTCTGAACCATTCATCTACAAAACCTCAATAACCCAACTAGGTAGACTGTTCCACTCATCAACTACCCTATTCCAAACCAATACTTTCCTATGTCCTTTCTAAATCTAAACTTACCTAATTTAAATCCATTACTGCGGGTTCTCTCTTGGAGAGATATCCTCAAGACCTTATTAATATCCCCTTTATTAATACCTATCTTCCACTTATACACTTCGATCAGGTCTCCCCTCATTCTTCGTCTAACAAGTGAATGTAATTTAAGAGTCTTCAATCTCTCTTCATAAGGAAGATTTCTAATGCTATGTATTAATTTAGTCATCCTACGCTGAATGTTTTCTAACGAATTTATGTCCATTCTGTAATATGGAGACCAGAACTGAGCTGCATAATCTAGGTGAGGCCTTACTAATGATGTAATGTACTGTGGATTTCCTAACAGGGCAACTAGGGAGACAGTATGATGTTTCCCACTGCAGAGGGCATACTTGGGTATGCTCCTGTTAGTGCACTCTCTGTAAACAAGTTCTGAGCAGATACTGCAGACTGTTTTAACAATGGTGCATTTGTTTTTTATTATAGCTGGAAACCATAACACCTAAGCACTGGGGGATGTTCAAAAACTTTTTTTCCCTAGATATTGGTAGGCGTGCATTTGGTACCATAGCTCTCAAACTGTACCTATTATACTGCACTTCTCCTTTAAACGTTTCCTGCCATTCCCCCCACCCCGTCCTGGTCCCTTTCCCTGTCCACCCCTCGATACGGCGCCCCCCTGCCCACCTCTCGTATACGGCTCCTTTCCTGCCCACCTCTCGTATACTGGCTGCCTTCCCTGTCCACCTCTCGTCTACTGGCTGCCTTCCCTGCCCACCCCTCCTATACTTGCTGCCTTCCCTGGCCACCGCTCGTATACTGGCTGCCTTCCCTATTCACCTCTCCTATACTGGCTGCCTTCCCTGCCCACCTCTTGTATACTGGCTGCCTTCCCTGCCCACCTCTCGTATACTGGCTGCCTTGCCTGCCCGCCTCTTATATACTGCCTGCCTTCCTAGCCCACCTCTCGTCTACTTGCTGCCTTCCCTGGCCACCGCTCGTATACTGCTGCCTTCCCTGGCCACCGCTCGTATACTGCTGCCTTCCCTGCCCACTTCTCGTATACTGGCTGCCTCTCCTGTCCACCTCTCCTATACTGGCTGCCTTCCCTGCCCACCTCTCCTATACTGGCTGCCTTCCCTGTCCACCTCTCGTATACTGGTTGCCTTCCCTGCCCACCTCTCGTATACTTGTTCCCTTTCCCCGCCCACCCTCTCGTATACTGGCTGCCTTCTTCCCTGCCCACCTCTCGTAACTGTTTCCCTTCCCTTTGCCCCCCCTTTCTCGTATACTGGTTGCCTTCCCTGCCCACCTCTCGTATACTGGCTGCCTTCCCTGCCCACCTCTCGTATACTGGCTGCCTTCCCTGCCCTCCTCTCGTATACTGGCTGCCTTCCCTGCCCACCTCTCGTATACTGGCTGCCTTCCCTGCCCACCTCTCGTATACTGGCTCCCTTTCCCCTGCCCACCTCTCGAAATACTGGCTGCCTTCCCTGCCCACCTCTCGTTAACTGCTTCCTTTCCTTGCCCACCTCTCGTAAAACTGGTTGCCTTCCCTGCCCACCTCTCCTATACTGGCTGCCTTCCCTGTCCACCTCTCGTATACTGGTTGCCTTCCCTGCCCACCTCTCGTATACTGGTTGCCTTCCCTGTTCACCTCTCCTATACTGGCTGCCTTCCCTGTCCACCTCTCGTATACTGCTTCCTTCCTTGCCCACCTCTCGTATACTGGTTGCCTTCCCTGCCCACCTCTCGTATACTGGCTGCCTTCCCTGCCCACCTCTCGTATACTGGCTGCCTTCCCTGCCCTCCTCTCGTATACTGGCTGCCTTCCCTGCCCACCTCTCGTATACTGGCTGCCTTCCCTGCCCACCTGTCGTATACTGGCTGCCTTCCCTGCCCACCTCTCGTATGCTGGCTGCCTTCCCTGTCCACCTGTCGTATACTGGCTGCCTTCCCTGCCCACCTGTCGTATACTGGCTGCCTTCCCTTCTCACATCTCTGTGTAACTTATTAATCCAAGTGAACCAAAACCCTTCGTCACGTTCCCAGCCTAAGTTCGGGTTATTTATATAACTATTTTCTCAAATCAAAAATATTAAGCCCTTCAAAGGATTTAACTTGGTGTCAGTGAAGGGCTCTTGATCTAAGGAATTTTAGTAATCTTTCCCTTCGTATGATCATATTTATCTCGTATGATCCATACGGGTTTAATGTTTCCCATTGAAAATAATGGGGGTGTCATCCTAGGTGCCTTCAGAAGTCTGTTGAGAATGACTTTAGGATGAGAGAAGTTGGAGGGTACGAGTACTGTCATGTCTAGCAATAATAAAACGGAGGATCGAGCCTCCATCAAATAGTTTTGCTTTCTCTTTCATATAAATAGGAACTATTTGTGATATGTTAGATTTTTAAATCCTGATTTAGTCATTAAGGTTGAAGATCGTCTCCATTCGTCCAGTCATGATTAATTTCTGAAACAGGATCGAGGTACTGCTCTGTGTGCAGCTTTATCACGTTACTGAGTTGATTGAGCTCTACAAGAGCGAAAGATCATCTCTATATTTCAATTTTTTACTGCATCGGATTTTTATCATTTTAACGGGGAAATGTGGTAAACTCACTGTATAACTTACTGAAAAGATTACACTTCTGTTCGTGTACTAAGGAAGAAGTACACCTCTCATTCTTTATATACTAAGAGATATACACTTCTGTTCGTGTACATAAAGGGAAGAAGTACATCTCTCATTCTTTATATACTAAGAGATATACACTTCTGTTCGTGTACATAAGGGAAGAAGTACACCTTTCATTCTTTATATACTAAGAGATATACACTTCTGTTCGTGTACATAAAGGGAAGAAGTACATCTCTCATTCTTTATATACTAAGAGATATACACTTCTGTTCGTGTACATAAGGGAAGAAGTACACCTTTCATTCTTTATATACTAAGAGATATACACTTCTGTTCGTGTACATAAGGGAAGAAGTACATCTCTCATTCTTTATATACTAAGAGATATACACTTCTGTTCGTGTACATAAAGGGAAGAAGTACATCTTTCATTCTTTATATACTAAGAGATATACACTTCTGTTCGTGTACATAAGGGAAGAAGTACACACCTTTCATTCTTATATACTAAGAGATATACACTTCTGTTCGTGTACATAAGGGAAGAAGTACACCTCTCATTCTTTATATACTAAGAGATATACACTTCTGCTGTGTAAATACATTTGTCGTAGTAAGATATACCACTGCAATTTTTTCTAGTTCATACTGTATTTTTTTCAGCATCTACGCATTTGCGTGCCAGTGCCGCTGTTTCACTCTTTCCGGTGTTGTTGGTGGGGGTGAAATTGGCGTTCTGTTGGGACATCCTGGGTTCCCAGTAAAGCTTTTGATCCTGAAGTTTGCCTTCAGGCAATACAAGCGAGAGGTAAATTTTACTGACAGACTGAAGTAGGATCTGACTGACACTTCATAAACATTTTTATTTATAAGTTTGGTTACAGGAAAAACTGCATGACTGTTATTCATTTTCCAGGCGATGTACTACACCTACCAGTTCCTTAGTTACAAGCACGAAATTTTTTGGCTTGAGATTGACACATTTTTTGCATTTTCAGAGCGTTTTCCCTTGCTACGGTACACCCACGATGTTCTTCACATACTGAATTTCAGCGCAGGAAGCCCAGAGCAAGCTCCTTGTCAGCGGGAGTCATGTCTTGGTCCCGGGGCCCCGGGAACTAGTCATTCCCAGTCATGAATGAACCCCAATATGACAGACGTACTAGTAAGATTTTTCTTCTAAAAATTTTTTGGGTTATTTTTCTAGATCTTTGCCTTTAAGAAGAAGTCACTTAGAGTTTATAATAATATTTATTTATTCTATAGCGCTCAAATTCACGGGTCAAAAAATGCCTTGAATGAAAATTTAATAAAGTTTGATCCAAGGAGAGGGAGAATATCCCAACTCTTAGCTCATGAAAAAACAAACTAAGAAAACGAGTAAAGAATAATATTCTTTTTGGATCATTTATAATATATATATATATAAATATATATTAATTATATATTATAAAAATATATTATAAAATATATATATATATATATATATATGGATGAATTTGGTAGGGTTATGCAAAAGAGAAAATTAAAAAGTGATAAGGAAAAGAAGTAAGGGTTTATGAGGATAAAAAAAAGATTAGGGATGAAAGATTGAATTCGATTGGAGGGAGAGAGTATGGGGAGGTGAATGTTTCAGATATTTGGGAGTGGGGACGTGTCAGCGGATGGGCCTATGAAAGATTGAGGTGAATCAAGAATTGTGAGGGAAAAAAGTGAGTGGTGCACTTAGGAGTCTGTGGAGACAAGAATTTTGTCCTTGGAGGCAAAAGAAGGAATGTATGAGAGTATAGTTTTACCAAACGCTCTATATGGGTGTGAAGCATGGGGATGAATGTTGCACCCGAGGAAGACGGGAGGCAGTGAGATGTAAAGTTCTGGGGCAATGTGTGGTATGAATATAAATCAGAATTCGTAGTTTTGGGAAGGGTGGGGAGGTGGCGGGAATTAAAAAACCAAAAAATTGTTGTCGGGGAAAGTGAGGAAAGGAAGTTTTGTTTGAGGGGTTCTACAATGTAGAGAGAAATGGAGCAGAAACGAGGGGGTATTCATCTTAAAGTGGAAGGAAGGCGGGGTAGGGGTCGGCCTTAAGGAAAGGTTTGGAGGGAAAATGGGTAAGATGGGAGGTTTATTGTGTTTTTTTTTTTTTTTTTTTTTTGGTAGGGGCCTTTGGACTTGTTCCGAGCAGGAAAGCTTGAGCAAAGTTTGAAAGAGTGAAAAAGAAAAATGGTTTTTAATAATTATGTTTATAAAATAAATTTATAAAATTCGGGGAAAAACCCGGTTTGGTTAAATGGAATACAGTCTCATCTGAAGATTGTTAATTTTCAGTTTTAAAAACTGTAAGTTAAGACCTTTGAAGACATGAGGGTTGAATATTTGAAAGGGTTTCTTTTTGTAAACATCTTGGTGGAATTTGGATTTGTGAAATAATAATATTATAATTGAAATTATAATATAATATATTTTTTAAATTATATTTAAAATATTAAGAATTCGCGAGTGAAGCGAAATAAACAAGCATGATCTTGGTAAGGAATATAACGAGACCTTGGAAAGGTAAGGCTTTACCAAAACTACCCAAGGAAATTCCCTTGGACTGTAGCTTTGGCTAATTTGAGAAGATATTTGACCTTCAGCCAGAGATCAGTGTTTTAATATATATATAAATTTTATATATATATATATTATATATATATTATATATATTATTTTATATATATAAAATATATATATTTGGGTATTTGTAAATTGAACGTTTTTGAATATGCAATAATATTAAAATATATTCTGAACCGCGTTTTTCATTGTTTGGTAATTAAATAATGCCTTATCAAATGACTAAGGAGGGTTTTAAAATTGCTGTTTAAAAGGGTTAAGAATTTTCTAAAGTTTTTGTGGTAAAATTTTTTTCTACCCATAATAAAAAGCTATTTAAAAATAAGAGAAAATTTAGTAAGATATTTTAAATGAGTTCTATATAACCAGTTTATACTATTAGAAACATATTTATATATATATAAATATAATTTATAATTATATATATATAAAATTATATATATATATGTATATTTAAATATATATATATATAAAATGTATATGTTAAATATATATATATATATAATATAATTAATACTATATATATACAGTGGTCCTGTTGTTCGTAATTAATCCGTTTCTGGACCGTTACTATAAACGAAATTTACGATTTACGAATAAATTTTTCCCCTAAGAAATAATGTAATACAATAATCCGTTCCTGACCCCCAGAAGTATTAAACCAAAAAAATTTTTAACATGAATATGCATGTAGTACATAAACAATACAATGGGAAAGATGAATGAAACATTAAAAAGCATAACACTTACCTTTTTGAGATTTTTCTTAGGTTGGAGACGAGGAGGAGAGAGATTTGGATTGTTTATAGTTTGGAAGGGGAATCCCCTTCCACAACACCCAGGTACCATTTGCTTTCGGGGTTGTTCTCTTCTCTATTTTTAAATTGCACTAGGACCACCTTGAGATCACGGGAGTCAGTCCACAAAATACTGTTGAGAGGACTTGTTTTTTGGCTCTTCTTTAACACTCCTAAAAGGGCCCCAAAGGATTTTGGTCACTGTACATGTTGCCAACCTGGCTTGCAACAACCTTGTTAGGGTGATGTTTCTCCATAAAGCTTTCCATCTTACCCCACATAGTAAAAATCTCTTTAATTTCTGAAGAAGGCACCTTCTCCATCTCTCTTCTCCTCCTCTGCAGCAAGATTCTGAGCTGCGATGTGTTGCTCTTCCTGCTGAAGCTCTTGGAGCTCCTCAGTGGTGAGCTCTTCATTGGTTTCCCCAACCAATTCTTCCACATCCTCCAAACTCACATCCAACCCAGGGAAAACCCCCCCCAGTGCCACAATTGATTTTACAACAAACATAGGCTCATTAGGGTCAGTCCCCAAATCTTCAAAATCCCTCTTGTCGACACAATCTGGCCACAATTTTCTCCAGGCAGAGTTCAAAGTCCTGGTAGCACTCCTCCCAAGCCATACCTAAAAGGGGTTTTATGCAAATGGGGGATGCTGAAGTGTTCTCTCCAAAATTCCCTTAGGGTCAAGTGAGTGTCTGTGGCACAGTAAAGCACCTGTGAAACATTGCTTTTGTGTAGAGTTTTTTAAAGTTTGCAATACCTGCTGGTCCATGGGTTGGAGGAGAAGGAGTGGTATTCGGGGGCAAAAAAACTTTACTGTGATAACCCAAACTCCTCAAAATTAGGTCATCCAAGTTTGGAGGATGAGCAGGTGCATTGTCCAATACTAGCAGGCACTTGAGATCCAATTTTTCTTTTCCAGGAGATACTCCTTCACACTAGGGCCAAACACTTCATTGAACCACTCGACGAAAAATTTCCCTGTGACCCATGCCTTACTATTAGATTTCCAAAACACACACAATTTACTCTTCATAACATTGTTTTTCCTGATCACTCTGGGATTTTCCCAGAATGGTACACTAGGGTAACGCTTCACTTTGAAATCCCCACTAGCATTAGCACAGAACATTAGCGTCAGCCTGTCTTTCATAGGCTTGTGTCCTGGCATTGCCTTTTCCTCTTGTGTAATGAAGGTCCTCTTTGGCATTTTCTTTCGAAAAGAGGCCTGTTTCTTCAGTCAAATTTTTGGAACAAACTTGTTCAGGTTTCAGTCCCTTCACCTCTATGAAACTTCTTAAATCTCTCAAACCAGCCTTTGCTGGCCTAAATTCACTCACTTCACCACTATTTGCAGGCAATTTCTTTACCAAATCTTCATGCAACTGCCTAGCCTTTTCACAAATAAATGAAGTCATAAGAGTATCTCCTGAATTTTTTCTCATTTATTTCCACACCAATAATAACTTTCCAAACCCCTTCAGTACTGGTGATTCTTTTTGTCAGATAGTTACCCCTTTGCAACAACACATTCCCTTTTTTTCATTTTTCTTGGCCACTATGGAACATAAGGTTGTGTAAGGGTTTTCTATACATCCTGGACCATTCGGCCAACTTGTACACTTTTTATATGTTCAAAGATGGTTTTCTTAAAATCAATGATTTCTCACCTTTCTTTACCCAAGGCTTGGGACTAGGGGCTTTCTTTGAGCATGGTAGCTTATTTAGTACTTGCAAGCACTAAAATAAATGGAATATTATGAAATATACGCTGGAGACGTGAGGGACCTTAGCTCACTGGTAAACAATGCCAGACAGGCTGCCGCCTGGCTCACCCGTGGGTACGCGTCCCGACGAACTACGACTCGCGAGTCAACCTATGGAAAAGCGAGCCATGTTTTATACGAAAATACCCTAGATTGGCGGGAAAAATTTTTCGATTTGCCGGAACTCGAAAAGCGGGGGCCACTGTTATAATAAAAATATATATATAATATATATATATATTTTATTATATAAATTAATATATATATAAAATATAAATATATATAAATTTTACATTATTTTATATATATATATATATATATATTATATATTATATATTTTTAATATTATACATTATATATATATTTATTTAAAAATATTAATTTTATATATATATTATAATTATTTTATAATATTATTCAAAGAAACTTGTATGGAACATTGGCGTGTGAGAGTTTAATCAAACTATACCACACTTTACATTGACAGCAGTTTGACTCCATTTATGATGATCCATATTTTTCAAAGTGTGTATGGAATGACAAAAAATCCTGTGAGTTTCATGTGTTTCCCATCAGATTCACCCCAAATGGGTCCTCAACAATAGGTATCTGGTGAACTAAACGAGGT